AAAATACTTGTAAATGTGCAAAAGATAGATTAAAAACAATGCTTTTATAGCATTATCAGTAATAGTAAAAACAAACAAACAAACAAACAACAATTGCTAACAACCTCAAGATGTATCATGTGGGAGTAGTTGAATAAATTATGCAGTACACCTTACTATGGAATTCTACCGGCTATTACAACAAAGTGACTTTTTGGGGGGCGCCTGGGTGGCTCAGTTGGTTGAGCGAACGACTTCGGCTCAGGTCATTGTTCATGACCGCATGGAGCCTGGAGCCCTCTTCTAATTCTACGTCGCCCTCTCTCTGCCCCTCCTCCTCCCCTGCTCACCCTCTCTCTCTCTCTCTCTCTCTCAAAAATAAATAAACATTAAAAAAATTTTTTTTAATGACTTTCTACTGAGCGGGGCTGGGAAGGGCAAGTTATAGAATAATATGTATAGTATGAATTCATTTTGTGAAACACCAAGAACCCATGCACAGAGAGAGAAAAAGTACTTGGAAGCTATCTCTGGACAGTGAAACTGAGGGAGTACTTATATACTCCTGCACTTTTTATTTTTACACTGAGCGTATATTACTTTTGTAACAACAACAAAAATAAGGTCACTCCATAACATTTGGACTAAAAAGACAACTGTAATAAAACAGAAAAAAATGATGTGAAAGGTCACTAGACAAAGGCAATTGTCATTAACCAGTCAACACTTTTTCAGTCCCTGGTATGCACGTTTCACATATCTGAGATCCTCCTCTATGTAATTTGGGGCTTGTCTTTCAATTAATGTTATATTGTATTTTCCCTATAGAAAATTTAGAGAATAAAGAGCTGCAAGAATAAAGGGCCCATGTGTTCCAATCACCCAGGTATAACTGCTTAATACCGTGCAAGTTGAATTCACCAAATTGTATTATGAGTAATCCACGCACACTCTCATTGATCTATGCATGGCCCACTCTTATTTTTATCCATTACCTTATTTGATTTAATTGTCATGATAATCATACAATTATTAAAGTCAATGGTATGCTTTTAATTATATAATGAACACCCACCCACCCACTGAACCTGAGTACTAGACTACGGATGATAACTTCGATCCACTTCTATGATCCTCTCATATTCCAGCCCATTTCCTTAGTCCCATTGACCATTATCCCAAAGTTTTTATTGATTCTCCTTTGCTTTTTAATAAAATATTTTTAATCCCAGATATATATGTGTACCTAAATAACACAGTGTTTAGTTTCACTTGCTTTTGAATAATATAGGAAAGACATCCTATTAAATGTGCTCTTCCGGGACTTGAGACCTTAACTGAAGTTAAGAAGTACAATATAGAAGTACAATATACCCATATTATTATGTTCAGCAGTGGTTCATTCATTTCATTGCTGTATAATATTGCACTGTGTAAATATACCACAATTTATACATTTTCCTTTTGGGAATTTTACTACTACCATAGTAGTGTATATTCTTCTGGTCATTTTTCTGAGGACATTTATATAGTTTCCTTTCTAAAAATTTGGCTATTATACATACTTTCATATGACCTGTTCTTCTCACTAATGAGATCTTGTGAGCATATTCCTCTTTCAGTGAATATTCTTCTGTGGTAGAAACTTTTAAAAAAATTTTTGGCTTGTTTTTAATGTTTATTTATTTTTGAGAGAGAGAGACAGAGCATGAGTGGGGGATGGGCAGAGAGAGAGGGAGACACAGAATCCGAAGCAGGCTTCAGCCTCTGAGCTGGCAACACGGAGCCTGATGCGGGGCTTGAACTCATGGACTGCAAGATCATGACCTGAGCTGAAGTCAGACACTTAACCCACGGAGCCACCCAGGCACCCCTGTGGTAGAAACTTAAATGGTTGCATAGTACTCCATCATAGAGTTACCATATAATTTTATTTAGTTACCTTTGATTCTTGGACATCCTGACTGCTTATGCGTTTTTGGCCCTGATAAACATCATGATGTACTTGTCCTCGACTCAGCAACTCTCCTTTAAGAATTTGTCCTAAGTGATCCCTGAACAAATTTGCACACCATCACGTACAGGACCACCATGGAGGACGACACAGTTTGTGCAGCGTATGTGCCCATTACAGCAGTTTTTAGAATGCAAAACAACTGGAAAGAACCGAATGCCCACCAATAGGAGGTAAAGGAAACAAGTTACGTCTTAAAATTAGAACGTAGACTCACAGTCACTGACCTGGCAAGATGTTTAGAATTTATTGTTAAGGGGGAAAGAGTGGGTTAAATATCAGTTTGATTCCATTTTGGAAAAGAAAATAAATATACCTGTAAAAGAAGGTGGAAAACCATACACCCAAAACCTTATAGCTATTATCTCTAAGTATTGAGTTTATTTGAGATCTTAGGTTTTTTTTCACTTTGCTTGCTTTTATTTTGAAGTGTTTTCAACAGTAAAACTTGATTACATGTATAATAAGCTGAATAAATAATGAACTTTTATGCACAATCACTTAAATATTTTTCCTGAATATAAAATACTTTCACACTGTAAGAGCTTTGGGAGGAAAAAAAAGAACACCAAGAAGTACACACAAATCACACATAAACATACCCACCTAGAGATAATTAGTTCACAATCTCCAATGTGTTTATTTCTAGTCGTTTGTCTTTGATTATATATACTTAAGATAATTGCAATCACACTTTATATAATCTTGTATGCTGATTTTTCACTTAACATTATATAATATCAACATACCATAAATATCTTAATGAAAGAATATTCCATCACACAGAAATAGCACATTTACTTAATCATGCCCTTAAAGTTAGACCCCTAGGTTTTCTGGTTTTCACTATGCCAAATACTATGTGAAGAACATCTTTGTGCATGAATTATCCACATTTTAGATGATTTCCTTGAAAAGATTCACTGAAGTGAAAATAGGAAGTCCAGGAGTACCAACATTTTTCTATCCCTTGATATATATTGCCAAAACTATACTTCGTATACATTTTAAGGCAGCATGGAGTAGTAGAAAAAAGAAGTCAAAATACACAGATGCCATGCCCATCTTTAGTACTTGCTGTTTAATCTGATTAGGCAAAACTGATATAAAAACATCCATCTTAGTAACCAAATGAGAAAAATAGATCCTTCAATCACCATAAATGTTACCTCCTCAGGAATGCTTTCCTTAACTTTCCAGACTCTCACAGCATCCTATACTTACTTTGCCTTCACAGTCTTGCAACACTGATAAATAATTGTTCGATTATTTGTACATTGTCAGTTTCCCCTAGGTGATTTTAAGTTCCATTAAAATATTCCTGGCATACAGTCGGCGCTCAATAAACATTTGTTGAATGAATGAATAGATCGATGATGGATGAAATGATAGCACTTTGCAAAATAAATCATTAGACATTTGGAAGGTATTTCAATTTTAATAATAATAATTATTATTCACTTGTATTACCATGTAGATGATTCTAGATCCTTAGAGATCCCTTGACTAACCATAATTTCAGTATGTAGCTTTAGTGCTTATCATGCCATCCAGGGGCATGGTAGCAATATTGCTGGAAGCACCTGTTAGGAGGTGAGACTTGGATTGACTTGACTCTAGATCAGCATGCTGAGGGTTAGGGAGTTGCAGCCCCCATTAGTTGAACACAAGGCAGTGGTCAGGATTCCAGGAGGCCAATGACATGTGAAGAAACAGGTAAATCCTGGAGGTCAGAAACAAACTAATGGCAAGGCGAAAACTGGAGAATGGTCAGTGATAAGAGATTGAAGTTGATGGGAGAGTCAAATTCCAAGCACCAGGACTCACAGCATGGAGTTATGAACGTGATTCTAAAGCAAATGGACCTTGAACTCAGTGCTTCCTTATATTATTTCTGCCCAAATTGAAAATGGTATCAGGAAGTGTTTGTGCCTAGATCCATACACATGGGCAAGGGAATAATAGTAAATAGTTGAGGAATGGGATCTGTGAATACAAATAGGTTCTGGTAGCGACAGGATAAAGTGAGACCATTGGTACATAAAATCTGATAATAGTCTGCACATAAAATGGGAGCAATCACACTTTGGATCCCATAATTCTTATCTTGACTTTCAGCAGAAAATATTATAGCATAGTGGTTGGGATCATGGGCTCTGGTCACAAGCTAGCTGAATTCAAATCCCAGATCTCTCACTTCATTTATTAGTTGTATCCTTTGGACAAGTTACTTCACTTCTGTGTGTCAGTTTCCTCATCTGTAAAATGGAGATGATAGCACCTACCTCAATGGGTTCTTGTGAAGATTAAATGAGTTAATGCATGTTACGACCTTAGAACAGTGCCTGGACATAGCAAATGCTATGTTAAGTGTTGTTGTTATTATTATTATTATTATTATTAATTGGTCACATAAGACCAAACAAAAATTGGTGTTGAAAGAAATGGATAAATACACTGTATGTTAACTCTAATAAACAGTCTCTAAACAGGATGTTTTTTTCATTAAATAAGAATTTCACTTGCACCTAAACATAGTTTACTATATAAAAACTATAAGTATTAGGAAAGTAGCAACATTTCTCACAGCAATCCAATCAGTGTGTTTATTTTACAGAAGCTGTTGTGTGAATACTACCTTTAAAAGTTTTTAAGCATAAATACATATTTCCTAATAGCAGAAAACACTAGTAAGCTGCAATACAGTTGATCCATAAAATCTGGTCTGTAAGAAGGAATGCCTTATTAAATTTTTTGAGGCTAATTCTACCGAAAGAAGGATTACTTGTGTTGGAAGACCTGTCTGTAGAAAGATCTGGACACACAGAAAGGCTTGGACTTGGGAAGACTAATTTTCAAAAGGTCTGGACCCGAGGAAAGATTGGAAGACCTGAACTATGGAACGTGTGAGAATACCTGGATATTGTAGACACTGGAAGACCCAATGATAGAAGACCGGCACTCTGGAGACGTTGGAAGACGTGGATATTGAGCCCCCTGTTGGAAGACTGGGTGGTTGTCGGAAGACGTGGAGATGCTGGAAGACGCCGTGAAGATCCTGGAAGACGTGGAGTTGCTGGAAGACGAGCAGATGCTGGAAGCCCTGGAGATGCTGGAAGCCCTGGAGATGTAGGAAGACAAGGATTTTCTGGAAGACATAAATTTTTTGGAAGACATGGGTAGGCTGGAAGACATGAATTTGATGGAAGACACAGCTTTGTTGGAAGACAAGGTATTTGCTGGAAGATGTGGATTTTCTGGAAGCCATGGATTTGATGGAAGACTTGGATTTTCTGGAAGACCTGGAGGTCATTGGAAGACGTGGATTTCCTGGAAGACATGGCTTTTCTGGAAGACGTGGATTTTCAGGAAGACCCGAGTTGTCCGGAAGACCTGGATCATTTGGAAGACATAGATTCGCTGGAAGACCTGGAGGTTACTGGAAGACATGGATTTTTTTCTGGAAGACGTGGATCTCTAGGAAGACGTATATTTGTTGGAAGGCCTGGATTTAGTGGAAGACATAAATTTTCTGGAAGACGTGGCTTTATTGGAAGACCTGGATTTCTTTAGTGGAAGACATACATTTTGTTTGGAAGACGGCGATTGACTGGAAGACTGGATTTCGCGGAAGACATGGATTGGTTGGAAGATCTGGATTTTTCCGGAAGATATGGATTTGGTGGAAGACGTAGATTTTTCTGGAAGACATGGACTGAGTGGAAGACCTGGATTTCTTTCTGGAAGACATCGGTTGGCTGGAAGACCTGGATTTCCTGGAAGACATAGTTAGCTGGAAGACTTGGATTTAGTGGAAGACTTGGATTTAGTGGAAGACATAGTTTTTTTCTGGAAGACTTGGATTGGCTGGAAGATCTTGAAATTGCTGGAAGACGTAGATTGTCTGGAAGACCTTGAAACCATTGGAAGACGTGGATTTTCTGGAAGACATGGATTTTCCTGGAAGATATGAGTTTTATGGAAGACCTCTAATTACTGGAAGACATGGATTATCTGGAAGACGTGAATTCTCCGGAAGACTAGGATTAGCTGGAAGATCTTGATGTTGTTGGAAGACTTGGAGTTGCTGGAAGACCTGGAGTTGTTGGAAGACCTTGACACTGGCGCCATTGGAAACCCTGGACATTGGAGACATTGGAAGCACAGGATATTGGAGACACTGGAAGCCTTAGATTTTGTGGACATTGCTTATTCTGGACGTTGGAGACTTTGGAGACCCTAAATGTTTGGAATTGGAAGCCCTGAATACTTGGAAGCATTGTCAGTCCTGTACCCTGGGAGCCTTAAACATTAGAAAATATAGACAATGGAAGATCTAGACGTTTAGAAATCCTAAAATCAGAAGCTCTGGATATTGGGAGACATTGGAAACCTGGATGTTGACACATTCATGTTTAGACATAGAATTTGGAAGCTGTAATCTTCATGATGCTGGAAGTCAAGGACGTTGGTAGTGCTAGACACTAAGAGACTTGGACATTAATATTTCAGGATGTTAAAAGACCAAGTCATCCAGATATTGGGGATGTTGGAACACATAACCATTGGAAAACCAGGTTCTTAGAGATTTTGAAAGACTTCAGTGGTGGAAGAACAGGTGATAATGAGACACTGTAAAATCAGAATTTAGGAGACACTAAAAGTTGTAGGAACCAAATGATGTAAGAACTAGAAGATATTAGAAGAGCTGGACTAGGACACAATAAAACATGTGGACTCTAGAAGACCTGCATACAGGGGGCACTGGAAAATTGGGAACATAGAAAACTTGGAACTTAGAACTCTGGATCCTGAAAGACAAGACCTGGAACCTGATGACTGATTGTTGGAGAAAGTAGAAGACCTAGACTTTTAATGTCCCTGATAGTGAGGAGATTGGAAAACACTGGCATTGGAGGTGCTTCAGGCCAGAGAGTGGAAGATGTGGGCATTGTAACATTTAGAAGATCTGGCAGTTGGAGATGTTGGAAGCTACAGAGCTCAGAAAACCTGATGTTAGAGACACTAAAGAATCGAAAGGCCCAATCTTAGAGATCCTAGAAGGTCATGTTGAAGGATATTGGCAATGTTGAAAGACTTTCACATTAGGATCTGATATAACATTTAAAGACATGTTATAAGGCTACTCTACTAGTCTTTATAACTATGGCATCTCTTTCTCTAAAAAGCAAAACACAGAGAAAGGACATCTTTGGGAGATGACAAAGAGGAAGCAGGGAAAGTCAAGTAAAAGCAAGTAGTTTGAATGGGTTGGAACCTATTTTCATTGTCCCAATGAACTGGTCTTGTATTGTTTGACAGCATGGGAATGAGGAATTATCAAAGAATAAGCAATATCCATCTTGGAGAACTACTTGGCTTTAAATAGGAGTCAGCCAAATGTTTTCTATAAATAGTTAGGATTTTGCATGTCATATATGGTGTCTATTGCAACTATTCAACTCTATCATTATAATGTAGCCATAGACAATACGTAAATGAGTGGATATGGTTGTGTTGCACTAAAACCTTTATTAAAAAAAAAAAAAAAAAAGCTGGGCCAGATTTGACCCAAAGGTCTTAGTTTGCCAGGCCCTGCTCTAGCTGCCAAATCTAGGGTATAAAGAAGTATATTCAATACATCTCAGGCTAGCATTCACATGCAAAAGAATGGGTAGAGCAATCTGAAGCCCAGTGGTTAATAAAGATACCATGTATGTAATGATGCTCAGGATAGGAGGCTAGCAAGAACCTAAGAACAGAGTTTAGAGCTCCACTTAATTATTTCAGGGGCTCAACAAGGATACTTATATTTAGAGCCAATATTACATGGGTAGCATTCAGGACCCCAAGCAAAGGGGGCTAGGGTTCCATGAGGATACCGGAACTCAGTAGGCTGGAAGCTTAAAAGAATATTAAAGAAGAAAGTCACTTTCACACACTGGGGTTATCCTTCCAGGACTAAGCACCATTCACCCAAAGACAGGGAGTCCCCAGCCCAGGGCAGAGATGACGTGTCAAAGCCCTCACTCGGTGTCCCATGTTCTTCTCAAGGGGCACTCCTCATACCACTGCCAATTGATCAAGAGCCAAGTCTAGGTGTTTGTAATGATGGAGGAGAAGAGGAAGGAGACTAAAGCTTTGAAGTCTCATCTCGGGCACCCTGGCTTCAAGTAATAAGTCTAATTTCTGCTCTTACCCACCAGAGCTTAAGTGACAAACGTAGGAGATCAGGGTTGAGTGTGAGCTGAAGATCCTTAGTACTTAGACAGGGCCGAGGAAGACACAGGCGATCACATATATTGTAGGAAAGAACACCGGCAGATAAAACTGGTTACGATGTGCTGGGCCTGGGTCATGATTTAAAGGTTAAGTAGTGAAATATATAGACAATGGGCAGCCACTGAAAAGTTTTGAATGAGTAAGTACCAGAATCAAAATTGTACACAAGGACAATTTGTCAAGCAGCCAAGTGCCGACGACTACCAGACACATATGCTAGAACATCAGAGGCTCCAAGTTCAAACACTATAAGGGTTGTGATGTGAGTTATGAAACCACTATAATCATCCAGGTGAAGTGGTAACAGAGGCTTGAATTAAGGCAGTGACAGCTTTGTTACACAACAGATCCAACATTTGGATTACGATGAATTCTCAGCGTTCTGAAAAGCACGATTGTCAGTTTCTCGAATGGCAGCACAGAATGCATGGAATAACAAAGATATTCAGAAGCTAGTTATGCGGAATTGTCCTCACCTCATAAGATTACTTAGATACCCAATTTTCTCTCAAAGGCAGCTGAGCTAATAATAGGTCCTGAGCAAAGTAGGTCCTATAGAGCTTTATCGTTAGCTCCTATTAACACAGAGTGACTTAATTATCTTGAAAGTGGACCCAAGTGGATGGATTGTTTTCTAGAGAATAGGAATATATCCATGTGAAAAAAGCCATTAAAAGTAATCCCTATATGAATAAATATCATGCAAGGATAACCACTTTATAAATAAAGCATATATAAATAAAGCTGCAGTCAAGGATTAGCATACGGACAAAGGAATTATTATTTCAGGTATCTTTCGCAAGCAAAGAAAAACATTGAAAATCACTTTTTATTCCTTCTCTCTTCTTAAAACCATCATGCATACCATTTTTGAAGGAAAGTACATAAAATATCAAAATATTAAAGTCGTAAAAAGAGGAGTAAACTATCATATTTAGTTCTATAATACTCATAATAATAATAATAGCAACAATTTATTGAGAGCTTATTATGTGCCAGGCACTGTACTAGGCGTTTCATATAATCTCTTAGCAATCCTATAATGGCAGGTAGTTTTGACCCCGTTTTACAGATTAGAAGCTCAAGTCTGAAATGGTTAAAAAGCATGCCCACAGTTATATAGCTGGTGATTGGCAGAGACAGGATGGAAAGCCCTACGCTAACTTGTCGCACCCTGATAGCTCAAGGGTTATCCTGCTGGGACCAAGCGCCGCTCACACAAAGAGAGGAAGTCCCCACCCAGGGCAGACAAGAAGGCAATGGCAAAGCCCTCATTTATCCATGTCTCACGTTCTTCTCATTATGGCCTTCATCATGCCACTGCCAAGCAATCAGGAGTCAGTTCTAGGTGTTTGCAAAAATGGATTAATTATATCATGGGCTTTATGTAGTAATGCAAGAAAGATGAAGTGCAATGTCTCAAGCACGCTAGACTCCTATTTAATTTCTCAACGTTTGCTGTTCATGCCAGTGAAATGGACTATCTAGGCTTTCACCTAGTTTCTATTTGATTTTATGGCTCCCGAGAACATACACACTCTGCTCATACCACAGTTTATTTCTGAATTCTTAGATGAACAACCATAGCACGTTGACATCAAGACCATTAAAAGGTAACTCTATGTAAAGTTCAGTGATGGATGTATTCCATTAGCACAAACGTGGTTCACACACTCTTAGCCTATACACGCTCTAGAAGCCCTTTATTAGCATTCAGGTGGTAGCAGCTGTGTAATCCAAACGTGTGGTTTAAAGAGCCTTGTCCGCATTTTGCGCTTAAAAGATTTTAAACAAACCAAAGGCTCTTTTCAAATGTAATGTCACTTTTCTAATATTCTCTACAAATTTCAGCAACCAGGGCTGCCCTTTCTTCCCACCTCCTTTTCCTTTTCTTTTCTTTTTCCAGTGGTTAAACATGTCTGTAAAGAAGGAAATTTCCATGCAGTTCATCACAGTGAACATGAAAATGTGCCTGAACCACTTGACAAGAGGAAGATTCTTTTCACCCAAACTGTGCATACAACCTTCCAAAAGAAGGTTCAGCTTGTCAATTTGGGGGACCATTCTTAATTTTAAAAAGAATGGAGAAACACCTATTTGCATGACAATGCCGTCATTCATTTCTATTTCTACCGCTTAGGCCTATACCCACTTTCAAATCCACCTGTAAGTTCTGTTGACTTGTTAAACTCAGCCATAGTGAAATGTTCTAGATTTTATCCTCATCGCTAGGTTATTTTAACAGGATGTTGCGTTAAACAAGAATTAGATTTTTCTCAATCATTTTATTTCAAATGGCCTGGCCCCTAGACAAACGTTTCCATCTATCAAGCTAAAGTCTAGGCATTTCTATGACAACTAAACTCCTACAACAGTCGGTTTCCCGTTGTATTATTTTATATTAATGGCTCCTGGTTGGTGCTGTTCAACTCACATTTGATTTCTCTAATTCTGGTCAAATTAAGAGAAATACAATGGCAAGACAGTAATCTCAACGAATGGTAAGA